TTTGTTAATCAGTATCAAATGGAAACACAATTTATGAATGAATTTCTTTGTAGATTTTAGGTTAAACGATACAAATAATAACAACAGTTGAACATGGAAAATATTTTGCAATACAGGTATGTTTTGTTTAAAAATCTTATGGCAGTATGCTTGTAATGCAATGCAGTTTGTCACTGACCCGATGTCTGAGTCAAGTAAAAATCTGTTCAGTCTTGTAAGTTTATCTGATAAAAGTCCATATAATAACACTAAAATCAACTGAAAAAATGCTGAGAGCCATGTTCGAGCTGGTAGTCTCAAAGGTTTTGGCACAGACTGTGCATGTAAATCTTTGTAATATCTAATATCTGTACATCAATGTCTATATTATTCTGAGGGCAGCCTCACAACATTCTTGTTTTACTTGTTTAATATTAAAAGGATATCTTTTTCCCTCAGAATATCAGGAACATGTTGCTCTGCATCCGTATGAATCATCATGATCATAAAGACAGATTTATTGATGTTATTCGTAACTGATATCCTCCTGTACAGCAGTTTGTTTTAAGCTGCCTAGGAACATGTTGAAACTACTTTGACTTGTCAGATGCTTGTGAATATGATTAAGCCATAATTATCATATATATTATTGACACTATACCGTATTTGACGTAATAAGCGCCCCGCTCTAATAAGCGCCCAGGCGGATATTGTCTAATATATTGGCTTGTCAACAATCCCAATTTGCACCCCTTCCGATCAATGTACACAAGACTTATTAATTTGTGTATAATATGCACTCGTGTGTTATATGCACCCTTAAGTATGGGCAATTAAATTCTGGAAAATATATCTATCGTGTATAATGAGCACAGACTTTTCTTTTGTATCATTTCAGGCTGTCAGCATAAACCACGAAATTTACGATCTTTCATCTCTGTTTTTTTTTTTCTTACCAAAATTTTATTCTAATAAGAGCCCCCTTTTTCTAATTTTGAGAGCGCCTTGGGCGCTTATTACGTTGAATACAGTAATCCCTTGAAAATGATCTATTGAGACAAATTATTGTGTATAGCAGTAGCAACATGGTAGGGTAGACGTTGCAGAGTACAGTTGCACAATGCTAATGACACCTCTATTCAAGTGGATTTCTGAGGCCAGAAATAGTCCCATCCACATGTGATCTTATCAAACACTGTGTAGTAAAGGTGTTTTGTTATTGAACAGATGATCTTTTCATGGGTAAGTAATAAATACATGTAATAGCCAAACTAAAGTTAAGAGTTGGTGCTCACAATACATCCTCATACTAGTTTGTCGGGCCCATGTTGAACATATCGAATGCTGTGTTGCTGTGTTGCTGTGCTAGGGCTTGAATTGTGCTGCCTGCTGCAGCAAGTGCACATGTTATCTCCATCATGATCTGATCATGCTGATTGCCTGTGAAGTATTGATTTTGTCGCAAATGCTTAGGATAGGCATCATGTTAAAATGCATTTGAATTATCGTTTATGTTTTAATGTTGTGTTGACAGGGATAGAAATTAGCACTACCCCGCTAATGTTTAAGGTTTCCTAGGGCTGGTAGAATTTTTAACATTTTGGGGATGTTCCTATATGTTATCACTATTCAGTTTAGAAGATTTTCTAGGTTATACCTTGTTTATAACCTTGATTTTTACAGTTTTTGATCAGATTAGCATGGTTAGCATGATTAAGATGAACAACATGAGGAAGGATATGGAATGTGAATGAGCCCATTTACTATTGATTTTTGTCTACACTGAACAAATGACTAAAGTGTTGACCTAAAATGTCATAACTCTTAAGGTATTCTTATTTAAAGATTTTATTACTTGTTTTTTAAAGACCAACCCATCATCTAATCACTCTTTAGGCCTTTAAAATAATAAATTACAATCCCTAATCATATTGATCAAGTTTTTATCTCTCCCTCAAGGACTTTACCTGAAGCAAAAGGATAGCATTTTTGGCAAAAGCTATTGGACCCCAAAAAGTATTTTAATTGGGTAAATACATTTTAAGATTTAAAAAATATGAAATTATGTTTTGGATGTACCATATTTTCTGGAGTATAGTGTGCACCCAAGTATAATGTGCTCATCCCTCTAGCAGATTCATTTTTTTTTATCACAAAATTTTGAGTATTATGGGCTGAAAAAAATTACGCCGTACTCCTTCAGTGAATTCCGGTAAACGAACGGGTGATAAACAACTTGGTCAGTAAAGATTTGAAATTTGAAATAAAAAATCACCAGTCATGTTGATATATAACTGTTTTAAATATATAGGCTTGACTCGGAAACTAAATTAGCTGGTAATTGTGTTTCGGAAATTAGCTCCTTTGTACGCATGCTGGAAAAGCTTCATTTGGTATTTGGGGCGGTCTGGTAACCTTGTGGTTAATTAAAGCGTTCACTCGTCACGTAGAAGAGCCGGGTTCAATTCCCGACATGGGTACAATGTGTGAAGCCCATTTCTGGTGTCCCCCACCGTGATATTGCTGGAATATTGCCAAAAGAGGCGTAAAACCATACTCACTCACTGGGTATTGACGCGAGCTGCTTTCATATATTTGAGTTTTTCATTTAATGTATGCATTTCTGTATGCAAGTTAATTGAAAGTAATTGGGTTTTGAATATTTTGGGGGGGTAATTTACGCAAGTAGGCTGCTTATCTGTAGCTCTGCTTTTGTGATACTATGGTCTGTATGAGTTATGATGCTAGGGGAAACGTGTTGTAAGATTGTATGTACCTCCTACATATTTCACCATAATCTTGATAACATTCATTATTTTTAAACCAAAATATTGTTATGCATCTGCTTTTTCCTCTTTGTTGTGAACAATCTCATAGTATAGAGGCTCAGGCACCATTTGTATCTAGAGTAACGTTTAAACACAGTGACACATAGCAGTGTATACTGGAAATATTAGAGCTGAAATTAGCTGCATCAGGAAGATGTTAATGTATTCCCCAAAGAAACATTTATTTATGTATTTTCTGAATATGTGGATCCATTTAGATTGTGTCACTATAGATATATATAATATTGTGAAGGTTTGTATCATGGTTTAGTGGTAATACTGTGTAGTTCAAAATTAGCCATTAAAGTAAGTAGAGGCCTGAAAAGGGTCCATGTCATAACCCTAATATTAAATAGTGCTCATATTTAGAAAAAACAGCCTTTTTCACGCATATCTGCATATCCAGTTGATCATGTCAGAAATCCAATACTTGCAAGTATAAGAAATTCATAAGATCAGTCATACCAATATTTCACAGTTATCTGTAATATTAAGATTTGACATTTCTTGTGGGCCAAAACATTAAAAAAGGGCCCTAATCTTGCCTGGTTCTCTGTGTACCGTTTTTATACCATCTTTCAATGATTTCGATTCATATTAACAGTGATTAAAGCAATATTATATATTGCCATGCAAACTGGGTTTTGTCCGACACCAGATATAGCTCCCCAACCACTCGACCCTTGAAATCACTACCAGCCAATTTGTGTACATCACACATTCCAGTAGTGTTTTGATTCGAAGCTACACTGGTAACTGTTTCATGTTTAAATGTATCTTACCTCCTTTTAATGCCTCGGCCTTTACTGGTTAATTTATGATATCATCAGTATATTATATGTATATGTAATCACTTAGGTCATGTTGATCATGCAGAGCTAAAAGTCTAATTTTTTTGTAATGTTGTTATAACATGGATAAACAGTATAAACAGAATAAAGTTATGATAATGACTATATTGATTATGTGCCAAGTTGTAACAGCTTTCATACATAAACGTTTCCACTGAGCTGAACTTAAAATGTATCAGGATGAACATTAGCATGATGAGAGAGACCGTAAAAACACAACTGAACATGACCATTGCCCATTCTACATGGTCGGGTTGCCGAAAATACAGGCCATTTGAGATGTTTGCCATCAGTGATGAAAAGTGGGGTCAGGAGCCAAGTAAACAAAGACATTTTTTTCCATTCTTGTTAAAATCAGATAATTGTCTACAATATGATGCCTCTATGCATGGAGAGCTGATAACACCTTCGTAGGAGGTCCCAAAGGTGAACTTTCCGCTTAACTGGTCAGCGCTGACACTTCTAAATTCTCAGAATGAGCAAAGCATTCAGACAAGCACATCTAATTTCTGTATCTCGGAGGCTAAGGTTTTCAAGAAGAGCTGAATGCAAAACAAGAACCTTTGCTACTGTATTTTTTGTCTATTTTGAACAAACTGTTGTTGTTTAGCACGATGTCTTCTGCTCCCAAAAGTATGTACTTTGAGGGGTACAATTGTGTTCTGTGGCAGTTGTCTTTTGCTGTGATCACAATTTCTGAATGAAGGTGGTAGAGAAATGAAGCTGACATGTTTTAGAAAGCTTGTGTGTGGGTGTGTGTGGTGTGCGTGTGTGGTGTGCGTGCATTCGTGCGTGCATGAGAGAGAGAGAGATGTTACTTTGGATAGAGAGAGAGAGACGTTACTTTGGATAGCCCATGAGAAGTACTGCTCCATACCATCTTTAAGACATTTCAGAATTATGTTTTATTCACTTTTCAAATTTCGAATTGAGAACTTCGTTAAAATATTTTTCAAAGTGTAGTCAGGAATGGAAGTCACCAGTTTGAAACTAGTGACGTAAAGTTTGAGCAAGCTGCTTTCTGATTGTGGACTTCTTGTCAAGGTTCACAAAAAGTCGTTCTGTCATGACCAGTAACAGGATGTCCCCAGATTTTTGCTTAGCAGTAGCGAGTACTGAGTTCTGAATTTAATGAGATTGGCTATGTTATTTGGATATTTTGATTTCAAGCCAAGCACCTAGCTGCCAAACTTGGTTGATAATTCTTGCATCATAATTGAAATTGGGATGGCAATGATGTGCGCAAGAATGAACACTGCATGATGTTTCATCTGATTACTAATTTTAATTATATATACTTTGAATTAAGTGTACTAATATAAACAATACTTTTTATTTTCAGGCTAGTTGAATATCCCAATGTCAAGGCCAGACGACCGAGATCCAATCCTGCCCAATGCTCCACCCCCATACACCCAGCCACAAGAGAATGTAGGGGCAGCCATCCCAAATGAACCCCCCCCCAAATATGAACCTCCGAAGGGGGAATACCCAGCAACGTACCAGGGTGGATACCCACCTCAGGGTGGATACCCACCTCAAGGTGGATACCCAGGACAGGGTAAGCTGTGTTTTATTATTATGGGATTCTTACTTTTTAAGCAAAATGCAAAGAGGTTGCAAAGGAGATTGTCACCCAATGTCCTAAACCAATGCACATTAAAAGTATTTTGTCATTACACTACTCTATAGGAAATCTACCACTGAATGTTTTAAGCATCAGTAAATTAGTCCTCATCCATGATTGTTGGGGAGCACTGATTCCGATAATGGATGATATTTGAATAAAATTTGATTCTAAATTCTGTTTACAAAATTCACTAATGATTCATTCTGTCATGGTATAGTTTTATTAGTTTTAAATTGCTAACAGACACCATCAACCAGTGAAATGGCACATTCTTCATCCTGTCATCACATGATTTTGGTTTTCAAACAACAGCTTTACATATCTACAGATTTTGGCTAAACTTGGTGGTTGGTCACCAATGTAAGACATGCAACTCCCTATCACCATCTGATTAACCTGGGACATGGCCTTGTCATCATGTCAAATAATGCAAAAAAATGTTTGTTGTGGGAAAGTTAAGGTTCTCTTGCAGTAGCCTAGTGATTAAAGCATTTGCTCGCTCGCTCATTCACTCACTCACTCACTCACTCACTCACTCACTCACTCACTCACTCACTCACTCACTCACTCACTCACTCACTCACTCACTCACTCACTCACTCACTTAGCTAGCTAGAGAGGTAATGGTGCTTCTGTTTTTCCAGCAGGTGGATATCAAACATGTCCGCCATCAGTCATCATGGTGACGACGACATTTGGGCCCCACTCCCAGCAGATGCAGTGCCCTCACTGCCTGGCTCACATCATGACCAACACGGACCACCAGGCTGGCGGGCTCACATGGCTGGCTGCAGGACTCATCTGTCTGTTTGGGTAGGTGGGATGGTAGGATGAACAGTGGATCTCTGTATATGGTCATAATGATGGCGCTGATGATGGGGGACAAGGAACACATCAATTAGCAGTCCTACACATTTCGATTGAAGTGCCGCGAGCACCCCTTTCCCTGCCATGTCTTCTATCTTAAATCTTTTTAAGTATGTCATCGGTTATGTTTGCTATGACGTTCGGTTTTATCATGTTTACGGCATAGATCTAGACTCAATTATTTACAGTTTGCCTTCATATAGCAGGAATTTTGCCACAACCAATAAACAAACGCACACAAACAGGCACACACGCACGCACACACAGTGTCTGAACTGATTCTTTTTGCATCCACATTAAAATTACATTACATTGGAATCATGTATGATCTGATCAACTCACCATAAACCCGCCTTGAAATGATCATTATTTGTTAGAGATACAAAGTCTTCATTCTTCCTATCAAATCCTATGACACTTCTTGTCAGTTTTGATATTGGCCATGACATTAAGAATTTTTTACCCTAAATCACCCATAGATCAGGGAGAAAATGTGTTAACAGCTGATTGCTATTTCCGCCTTATTTTACGAGACAAATACACATGTAATCTTAACCTCTGCGTATGAAACATTGTCCTGCATTCAGTACACAAATACCAATGAATTTTTAAATCATCATGTCTAGTGATGTTTTATCGTAAATTTCATGTTTTCTTTGACCAAATTTGCAAGCAGCAAAACAAGCACACAAACTCCTATTGCCACCATGACCATAACACACAAGATGCGTAGTAAAGCAGTGCGCATGAAAAGGGAAGTAACTGCACTCTATTTTTAATTGCATTGTTTTTAGGTGTCGTGTGTTCCAGATGCGGAATATTTAAGGATTTTTTTTTAAAAATGGAAATAAAAATGAAATGTTGCGGCAGACTTTGTGATCATGCAGCGATGTCTGAGAACCAAGAATATTTATTTTTTAGCTTTATGTAGCTCAATATTTTTTTATATTTGGCATGAATTTGTTGGGCCAGTCTGCCAGATCAGTTTTAGAATTTAAAACAAACAAATCCCTTGACAATAAAATACGACCAATTTTAGGTTTGTCTAATGTTGGAAATCCTAATAACTAAAATTGGAACAGCCCTACTGGCAAGCTCTCAGTTGCAGCCAATCAGAATGAAGTTTCAATAGTTGCCATGCAGCAATTGTTTAAAACTGGTTACTTCCATTCCAGACTACGCTTAGAAAAACATGTTCTCTATTCAAAATTTGAAAACTGAACAACTGTCTAGATTGTATGTCAGTACTTCCCACGGGCTATGCCAAGTCTCTTTGGACCAGGGTGCCGTTGCACAAAGCAATCTTAGCGCTAAGGTGATCGTAACACCCATACCTTAACATATGTTACCCTCCAAATGTTTATCCTGTTGAAGCAGAAGATAGACAACGATTTTGACGGAATCAGTCAAATCAGAATTTCAGAATACCATATACTAATCTTGGTGAGATTGCATGATTAGAAAACACATTCCGACGGTCACATCCCTGATGTCATAAGTGACGGATGAAAGGTCGTTCTGACATGACCCATTATGGGATGTCCTCAGATAGTGGTAGCGAGAACTAAGATCTGATTTTAATGAGATTGGTGCCAATGACACTGTTCAAATTGTAATGGATGGTTAGTATAGGTTCCCAGTGCCTGAACGTGATGAAAGGCCCATGCACTTAGAAAATGTGTTCTTACAGATAAACATGACAAACACAAGGTAATGAGGAACATAAAGACAAGCTTAATGACCTTTCTTTTATTCATAATATAAACCTGGGGATTCAGGAATTGAATTTTAATCTAAGTTGAAAAGGAGGGATAAACTTTCCATAGTTCCACTGTTTGTTAACTTAGTGATTAACAGATAACCTTAGTTCATAATACACCTATTATTGATGCTGTAACCATGGTAACTGCATGTTTTGCAGCTGCTGGCCGTGCGCTCCGCTTCCTTTCTGTATTGGAGAGTGTCAGAATGTCAGCCACTCCTGTCCCCAGTGTGGTGTGCATCTTGGGATGTTCTATAGGGCCTCCTAACCCTGTAGACAATGGTGGACATTCTACCCGTATCTAAATCCTAGCTGTCTGGTTTCAGTGATAATACAGTATTATCTTATCAATATGTACACACTATTTATTCTGTTATTCAGCAATATTATTGTATCTTTTGATTATATACATTTATTCTGTTATTAAAAATGTTAACCTCTTAACGGTTATTTCAAAAGAGAGAATACATGTAATTTCCTTAATATTGCTTAACAGAATGCATGATTGGGTATAGAAGCATTCATAAAATATAGCATGCTGTTATCATAAAAATGTAATAACTGTTAGAATGCTAGATACCTGTACTCTTGTTGGTGTATTGACGATTACACGGGTAATTTTGTTGTGGTTCACCATTTTCACATATGAAAATGTTGGTGTATATTAGTCCCGGGACTCAATCAATCATAAATTTGTGATGCTAAGGTTATGACAATGACACTTTGACTTTCATTTTCAAATTCAAACACTCCTTAGTGATCATATGAATGTTAGCGCGGTCATATTGTAGTGGTCATTCTCATGCCGTGAGCTGTAGATACTGGTTTGTATTGGTGGACATGGTGAAGGTGAATGAAATATGCATGTGAATGAGGGTGCAAGCAATATATATTTTACATGTACTTCATACAGTATAATGGGTTTCTGATAGGGGTCAGAAAATCCTTTGTTTCTGTAGGCCATAGACTCATAACAACATGTAGAAAAATGTTGAAATTCAACATTTGTTCAGTTTTCTTAAAAAGTATAGAACATCTTAATCAGGTGTTTATTATATCATATATATGCTGATAGTTGATGCTACCATCCAATATCATTGTTATGGTTCTTATTGTGTTTTAAGGAACAAACTATTTATCCCTAAAGATAACCAGATAACTGGCCAGGCATTGAATATGTTTTTTAAATCAAGTGTTTTCTTTGTTTTTATGAGTCAGTGACCGATTACCTCTGTTTCAGCACGGACAGAATTTTCAGTATTTTGAACACTTACTGACTTGGCAGTGTAATTTGAACAATGTTGAAAAGATCTTGAAAATATATAGTGTGCCTTGATATATGCCCAGCCATTAAAAACACACTGGACTCCATGTACATGTTGCTGTAAGATATTAAACATCTCAGAACTTTTTGGAGAATAAGCATAATTGTCCCTCCTAACCAACCAAAACAAACAACTTATGACAAAATAAAAAAATATATTGAAATATTGAACTGGACAAGATGGATACATGTGTATATTCATTTTTACCTCTCAAAGACTACTGGTAAAAAATGTGCAACCTTGCCCTGTTGTACTCTGCACCTGACTTTTTATTCTTTTGCACTGTGTTGTGGTTGGTAGTTATTCAGTTGGTGTTAACTTTGCAGGTGCTGGCTGGGGTGCTGCCTTATCCCCTTCTGTATCAACGATCTACAAGACGTTCATCACACCTGTCCTAACTGTAAACGCTTGGTGGGGGTGTGTAAACGGCTAGACTGAGACCAACACATGACCATACAGGGAACTGATGCACATCACACTACAACAGTTGCAGTACAATACAGGGTGACTGGTTAATTCATGAGGTATTATTGATGCAAAGAGGTGTAAGGTTAGTAGGAATGGCCCAGGTATGTTCATACAAGGAGGTTTAAGAGCTGTTTGTCTTTGAGAATTCGGTTGACTATTCGGAAACACTTGCTGTGAACAATCAAAAATGGCTAGAAATGGGACATTTCAGAACATTTCAGAATAGTTAACAGTCCTGCTAAAAGATTGTGGATGGATGTTTTAATATATGTATTCTGCATGGTCATTAGCGGCGTATTGGATGCATGTAAAAAAGATGTAACTTTAAAATTTAATGATAGTAACAATTAACTCTGAAATCTGGTCTATTGTAACATGTTATGTTTTGGATTACACATTCTCATTAAAGTACAAATTAGTACTTGACCCACTCAGCATTCGAGGCTGACTTTGTGTGCTGGCAACTGGGTGCCTTACTCTGAGAGTATCGGTTCGATACCTGATGGGACTCTCCAAATTGGTACTTTACTGAGAAAGTGTAATCCCAAAACTTATGTTATATTTGACCACTTGCCATTCATGGCTTATTGTATCTGCAACTAAATATTGTGATGTGATAATGCATTAGTTTACTGTTACACACCACCAGGTGGGAGGAATTTTCAAGGTGGTCAATTACGACATACTTAAAAAAATGTGTAGTCCAAATTTCATTTTATTATTGAATTTAATTGTTTCATTTGACAATGGACTTTGATGTGACCTGTATCCCTGAATCAACTTGGTCCCGTTGTACAAAACAACCTTAACGCTATGTCAAGTCTATGTTAAGGTATGGTCGTTACGACCACCTTAGCGCTAAGATCACTTTGTACAACAGCACCCTGGTCTGTGATGCATGCTCTGTCAACATATTTGCATGTAAAGTTAACCTTTTTGTGATGCTATACAGGGTTATTTCACAAACAGTTGTGAGAATTCTTTCCATTTTGATATATACATGTACCAGTTTATGATGTAAAACTGACCTTGCTATTACCCAAGGTCATCTCTGATTGGCATTTTTCAGAAGTGAATGACAAATAATTTGTTATAAAGTCAAACTGGTTATGAAGTCCAAGAACCTAATTGACAAAACGTAGCATTTTAGGGAGGTTGTACATATACTCAAACACTTCATATTTTATTTGGTAGCGGGATATGTTCAGGGCAGTAACAATTCACCCATATTGGTGCTTGGATAATGGCAGGAAAATTAATTATGAAATACAACTTTGTAACATTGTATGCAAGTCATCTCTGAGGTGAGTCAAATTTATTTTATTTGTTTTGGTAGGTTTCTAATCATTCACAGTGATGGTGAAAGATAACTCCTTAGCATGGCATGTCAAGTTGTCATGCATTATATCCTGATACAACCTTAGGTGAATTGTTACAGGCCTAGACAATTTTCATGTGAATTCGCAGTTTCCCTTAGTTAGACTAACTTAGAGACTTAGATGATGATACTGAAAACTATGAATTAAGATGTAGAACATCCTTTGACTTCATCTTCCATGGGTTGTTTATGATTTTTCAGTTATTATTTTAGTCTGTGCTAGTAACTTTTGAGACTACTAGCAGACTAGTCTGAATCTGCTTTTTGAAGGCTTTTTCAGAAGAGTCTGGTTTTGACCTTTAGGTTCAGGGATTTATCTAGGATTACAAACTAAGTGTTCTTGGCAGGCCTATTGGGGAAAAAAGTTGTCATTTTGTTCAGAATCTCTTTTTGCATTGTGTTTCAACTTTGTGTGTAAAATTTCTATTTGTTGGTCCTATTATTAGTGAAATGTAAGTCACCTTGACCTTACCATCATGGTAGTTATGACTATATTAACATGGTTTGGGAATTTCACCACCTTTGGGCTGCATATCAGCCTCTGAGCAGGCCTAGATAAATCCCTGGGACTGTTATTAGGTGAGCTTACTAGAATCAGTGTTTGGGACTTGGCAATGTGCTATGGTTACAGGCAATACATTTTTGTTCTTGAAGCTAGAGATATATTGACAGAAACACATTCCTGTAGAGTAGAGTCAAAAGTGAACTTCATTTCGTTCAATTTGTCTTCCCAATTCTGTAAATTGTACAAATTAAAATCAATAAGCAATGTTGAGGGCCTTCCAAGAGATGTACTATACTACATGGGGCTGGGACGAGTCCAAATTTACTACCCGGGTACCCACACCCCTATTACCCAACCCAACCGGTATCCCCTGTTGGTGTCAAGAGAGAGGTACAAAATGTCCAATTTGGAATAGTTTGACCGTAGCCCTGGCAGAATGTATCTAGATACACGTATAAAAGGATGTGGTCAGGCATACACTGAAGTTGACTGAAGTTTTAGCTTTGTTCAAACATGTATTAGTCAGAAGGATTGTGTTAATAGTCAAAAGAAATGCGAACATTAGGGACTTAAAATTGTCGTGTAACCATGTAGTCTTAAAGTGAATTTTTGTCATGAAACAATATATCACGTGACTAACCATGGGTCCGGGTAGTCCTGTGGGTACCCAGCTCCTACTAAGTACACACCCGACCCGGGTACCCGAGTTACCCATCCCATCCCTAATACTACACAATACTTTGATGAAAGAGGATTATTTTGGTCCTTGGCAAATACAGAGTAGGGTAGTTGACAGAAGGTTACCGGTAGATGAAATTTCAGCGAGACTTTTGTCATGTTTGTCTTTCAGATTATTTTTGTAGGTGCTAAAGGAGGTTCAGGTGTCTTGTTTATTATTTGCATATTTTGTACTTGAAAAACAAACAATTTGCTTCTGTTTTGATGCTATTGAATTTCATGATAATGTCAATGTGCCTTACGTAACCTAAAGTATGTGCAATTTGGATTTTGTTTCAAATTCCTTGTTTTATATAATCTTGATAATGTTCATGTATTTTGTGGAAACATGGTTACATTATTTGAGACAAGAGATGCTATGTTGCTGAATTTTCAGCATTAAACTTGTTGACCTTAGTAAAGGATGTGTAATCATTTAGATTTATTCATGTTGTTGTGGTTGAAAATTTGACTCAAGAAACAGTGAAATGTGTTTGTGAAAAGAATTATATTATGTGTACAGACTTTGGTAGTTAGTCTGTTGGCGGTGATTTGATGTGCTATGTCAATGATTTTTTCAATTTGGTCATTCAAGCCGTTTGGTTGAAACCACATGGGTGATGATGGTGAAGGCCATTTGAAACCCAAGATACAAGTATCTTCCCTTGTGAAAAAACAGACTTATGATATAATAATATTAACAATAATAATAACAATAATATTGGCACAGATACATTAGTTCAATACATTATTCTTAGTTAGTGCAGATATGTGTTTCTATGCAGTTCACCAAGAGAAATCCAGAAAGGAAATCATGCAATAATTGCTGGATACTTAAATGATTTGTACAAACTTTGACTATTAGTATTTCCACATGGTGCTACTGCCTTTAGCTTTGCATGTTATTTCTGTGTGGCAAAAAATATTATATTGCTGCATCAAGCGTGTATTCTGTATATGTATAGTATCCAATAGATGGCATGAAAATAGGTTTAATGCAAAACACGTACAAAGCCTACTGTTGTCCTTTGTCCTGTGTGCTTCGAATCTAAGGCAGGCCTTACATGCTCAAGTATGATAACCATTGATAACAGGGCACCCAAAAGTAAATGTGAAAGTTATTTTGCTGCACTGACATAACATACAAGCTGTGGGTTTTTCAGGTCTGTGGAAATACTCCTGGTTAATCGGTGTAGACCTGTAAAGTACGCAAGTTGTGTCCTTGTCTCCAAACTTTAATTACAGCAATCATTTAAATCATCTGTCATTGTAACTTGTAAGACATAATTTAAGATCTTGATTATATAATGTAATACATGACACTTAATATTGAAATACAGCTTTAAAGTGACAGCAATCTACTGCATGTATTACCAATGAGATTGTCCTCACCGGTGACCATGGAGTCTCATGTCATACACACCAGTATTGACCTTGGTGAGAAGAAATATGCTTCAAGTCTTTGAATGGCATTTAGGAGTGATATACATAAGGGAGACCTTATGGATGTCAACTTTATTATGACCCCTTCATCAGTTGAATTATCTTAATAATTATGCTTGATAATATTGTTTGTGACCACCATCAATACTTCATGGTTTTGTGTATGCAATGTTCCTCCATCACTGATGGATATACATGTGTATTTTGCTGTGTTGTAGTGATGCGTGTCGATTTTCAGGCAAGTAATGAAATCAGGCTGTGTATTACTCAAACGAGTCCTACTCATTTTGGTATGAACCCTATCATTGCCTGATTCTGAAGCCATGAATGTGAGACATGAAATATTGAGTCTGATCTCACTGGTCTCCCTCTCTCTGAAACCAAGGCTGTCAAACAACTACTACACTGCAAAGCATCTACATATATATTCATGGATGATTGAGGAACATTGTGTCTACACACCTGTGAAGTACATAGGATTGTTTGTGTTATGATGTTGGTGTGTGACATTGTGAAGAAATATGCCATCATACTGTGGATCCTGGAGTCTTCCCTAAAAAATATATTCTTGCCTTGTAAACAAAAAGAATACAAATTCAATCTTGTTTTCTTTTGGATAAAGTAATAAGAGTCACAACTTACAACACGGATTTGTCATGTTTTACTGATGTAAAAGAAAATCCGGACACTCAGTAATAATCATTGCATTTGATGAAAAATGATTCCTCTTGAACAAAAAACAAATGTCCCCAAGTTTGATACTGAATCATTCAGTGTTACTCTGTGATTTTCTACTTTTGTTGTGATGTTTTGAAACTGACGAACATGCACATTTTCCAAAAACTTTCCTGCTATGATATGCTTTTGCTTATGCAGTTTATGTTACCTATGCTCATGTGTTACCTTAATTGTTTTACAACAATTGATAGATCTTTAACTGTGATATCGATGATGGTTTGCGCTATTTCTGACATAATAGGATCTGTTTTCTTACACTGTACAGTACCATATTATAATGATTTAGCTTGGCTCACAAACACTTTTATTCTTGTAATTAAATTGAACCATTTACCTTGAGCCTTTGTTGGTGTTATCTTTAGCTCACCAGACTGAAAGTGATGTCGCACATTATCAGTCATCTGTCCAGTTGTCTGTCTGTGATTAACTTTTACAGGTGCAGAGTCGCCAGAAAACTATGATTGTGGGTTCGAAATCCCGGTTCGCCCAGATTATGTTTCTAGGTTTGTCAGCACCATACCCATGCTCTTGGGTCTCACCGAAATGGCAAATGTCTGAGACCTGCATCACTTAGGGCTTTTCCTCCAACATTTCCTCCCACAGGCCATCATATAACTGGAATACTGTTAAAAGCAGTGTTAAACCCAACTCACTCACTCACTAACTGTTACAGTTTGGGCATGTTCTCTAGAACTACAAGGCCTCGGGACAAGATTAAGTTGAAAATTTGTATGAATGATCCCAACTAAGGTGCTCCCAGAATTCCCCTTTTTTTTAATATTATGAATTTTGACCTTCATTCAACATTTACACCTTTATGGTGGTATATTTGTCATGTAAATATTGTCACAGGAAATCAAAATCAAAATTGAGTCAAAAATGGAAAAGCACCACACATGAGCCTGCCACCACATTTCATCGGATCATCTGCATGTATGGAGAATAATGGCAAAAGGTGCCATGGATAGCAAATGGGACTTCAAACAGATAGGGTTCTAGTATCATTAGGAGAGGTTGGTTAGATTGCCTAGGCAAACCTTCATCATGTTATGGTTGCTGTATGGCTGACATAATGCTGATGTGACATAAAGTTTTACCTCACTCAGCATCCTACACCTTGTGATAGAGGAGAACGTTGTGAAACAAGTTCAAAGAAGTCGCAGCTTCTGGCCAGCATTTTGGACAATTGACAAGTTTATCAGTTAATCTTGGCTCCTGAAAGCCAAAATGCCCATTGGTTCAGCTGATGAAGCATGCATGATTCTTTTTATGCAGACATTCAATTTTGTTCAAATCGTCGTAATTTATATATATCACCAGGGAGAGGCTGTCTATTTTTATGTGAAATGAGAAATAAGTTTATTTGCACCCTTTTTATGACAAAGATGAATAGTTGCTTAAAGCAATCTCTCTCTCTCTCTCTCTCTCTCTCTCTCTCTCTCTCTTTCAGACGAAGAATCGATATACTGTAATGCAAATTTGTTTTGTCAGCATATGTACACTGTATTTCTTATAAAATATCATGTACCACCTGGGATGCCATGCCACAGCTAAACATGGATACCACACACATACACATACTGACTCCGACCTGACCAGTCCTTGTGTTAACCCCTAATGCGGGGTGACACAGCAACGTATGCTGGACCATAGACACAAACAGTTATTTGTGGACAAGTCTAGTTTGATTTTCACCATATCCATTGTGGATGATGAATTAACACATGATCAATGTTTACATACAATCTATGTTACTTGTAACCATGTTGATGCTTATGCTCATCATGAGATCCATTGATCTCTCGTGGAGAACGTCACGATATGGCTGAAATACTGCCGATGTGACGTTAAATATTAACTCACTCACTCGTGGAGAATATATGTCCCTGTTTTCTTTTGAAAACGAATAGTGATGTGAAAGGCTAGATCCAATAAACGAACAAATGACATTGGACATACTGCCAAAGTGCTTTCCACAGACTAGCGTTCAAGGAAATATTGATCATTCTTTGTCTTCTCTGTGAAACGTACATTAGTCACCTGATGTCTTCTTTTGAAACACTGATTCTAATTTCCCCTTTTATGTGATTCCTTGTGGAAGACTACTCTAGGGTTTATGAAAGATCTTAAAGTGCAAGTAAACTCAACATAGAAACTCTGCAGATATTAATACTTTAGGGCATACTTATTCACAAATGATCGACCAAAATAAATTTGAAAAAGGGAATAGCTTAAAACAGATGATAAAAAATGCGAGGCGAAAGAATCTTCCACTGAGGGGATTCCTCTCACTGGGGCTAGATGAGTTTCCGGTGTTTGACGCCTTGCGCAATTTCAACGACTCGAATTTGTTAATGCCTTACGTCTTTTTTTCTGTCTGCTCATCAATTTGATTATCGTGTCCACAATAGACAGACAGATATATTCATTTAAGACTTTTATGATATTGTAGAAACACAGATGGATTTGCTTCTAAGACTTCTGCTCATCCTGTTCATTGCGTTTTTTGCTTACTCGAGCATGTTTGGTCTGTTTTCGTTGTAGTGTACAGTCAAAGATGCCACACAACAGTGTTTGAGCTATGTTCACAAACCAATTTTATTCTTGTAATTAGATTGAACCATTAGCCTGTTGTTATTTTTATATGCGTAATTTGTCAACAAACAACTTCTTGATGACTTTTTGTAGTTCGGGATGATGGATTTGCGCCAAATAATTACACTAAATATTGTTATATCAAAATATTGAACATGTCCAATAGCTAGTCTAATTGGTCTTCAGTAACCCATGCTTGTCGTAAGAGGCGGCTAACGAGATCGGGTGGTCAGACTCGCTGACTTGATTGATGCATGTCATCGTACCCCATTTGCGTAGATCGATGGTTATGATGTCACTCACTGGATAGTATGGCCCAGATTCGTCGATTATTTACAGACGGCAATATTATAGCTGGAGTATTGCTGAGTGCGGCGTTAAACAACACACAAACAAAAGGCTCAAAAGTTCGCATGATCTGGCTAAAATTGGTCTGTTTGTATCAGACAACCCCGTAACTTTCGTTTGTTTGTGTGTTTATCGCTGCAGTCAGCAACGCCCCAACTGCATCACGTCTAAAGTATATAGCCGACACAGGAACTCGTTATTGGTCAGTAAATAAAACATCTATACCCCCTATTCTCTACTGACATATAGGGGTACATATTTCTATTTACTGACCAATAACAAGTTCCTGTGATAGCCGAGCCCGACACAGATTGATTGATTTGGACCAAATTTATTGAGTAGCCAGGTAATATGAGAATACAGACAAGATCAAGTTCAATAACAACATATTTGTAGATACCTTTACGTTAAACAACAAACAAACAAACAATTACATGAGGGCAATCAAGATCTACATCATTGATAGTGTTACAAATGGGGAGAGATTGTACCTCTATAAAAACACAATTAACGCTTAAAAGAAGCTCAATGTTATCCAATTAAGTTAAACACTATATACATATATGTCTGTCCTAAACATATACAAATGCATGTCTTCTTAAAAGCAATGACATCACATTAAGTGGATAAAATATTTACATATATCTATGTTGTGAACATTTACAAATGCATTTGTCAATCTGAACGTTCGCTAAGTGAATGGAATGTCTTTATACATCTGTGAATTTAACAACAGGGTAGTGACAGCGAATGTTTTAGCAGTTTATCTGACATATGAAAGGTGTATTTGTACTGCACTACTGACCCGTGAAGATCCGGGGTAGGTTTTAGCAACCAATGCTTGCCGTAAAAGGCAACTATGCTTGTCGTAAGAGGTGACTAACGGGATCAGGTGATCCGACTCGATGACTTGGTAGATGCATGTCATCGTATCCCAATTGCGCGGATCCATGCTCATGATGTCAATCACTTGATTGTCTGGTCCAGACTCGATTATTTACAGACCGCCGTCATGTAGCTGGAATATTGCTGAGTGCTGCATTAAACAAAACGAACGAACAAACAAACGAAACACTCCTGCTACATCGTGCGGGGTACATATACGAGACACAAAGCACAAGGTATAGCTACTAGTTTTTGTTAGTTTAATGTCACAAAGAGAGAGGTCCACAACACTGGATTTGTGTCTGAGCGGTAATCGGGGAAGTTTGAGATAACCTTAATTTCGATTCTTCCTCGAAAAGATAGCGGGTGCATAATTTTCAGTCACAATGTCAAATGTAGACGCCAAGAGCATCATTTACACATTTCTCTCCATCCATGTTTCCCAAGTGTTGTCAGGGTCGATATCAACGGGTCGTGATCGTTCGAAGTATAACTGACAGATGTTGGTCGTGTTCTGGTAGCTGATTGATCTGCATCTGATCCTGCCTTGACAACTCATGATGCACTTAAACTTAGAGTTGGACGTCAGTGAAGACAGCATTTGACGTGTACTCCAACCATTAGGCACCACCCGCTCAAAGTAGTTCCCAGCCTTGCCATCTAAACAAAGCACACTTTCACAGCCTCATCTTTTTAGATATATACATAAATATTCAGAGTGACAAAACATGTATTCACAAGACTGTGACAAGCGGGATGCTTTCAACTTTCACTAAATGTCGAGCAATGTTCCAGCAGATCCAGGGTTTGGTGTGTATATTACACAAGTTTTGAGGTACAATCAAGCATGCTCTTTCCACGAACATTTCAAATAGCATCATACGGCGCTTACTCAAAAGTTGTTTCATCAGGGTTAAACATTCAAGGCCTCAGTAAAACTTTTAAACATTTTAGGGAAGACATGTAGACATTTCCAAATTCGAAACATTAGTTACCAAAATGATGTCCGATACAATTTCTCATTTTGACTTGTACCATGCATTCCGGTGTTTGTGTTTTTCAGGTAAACAGTTGTCTTGCCTTTACATATGAATGTGACAGGTGCCACCAGGGGGGCGGGATGCGCTCACCTTTTCACGAAAACCTGGTATCATTACTATGTGATAGGGATTCAAAAACGCATATAGTCGTAATCGTACAATGGACTCTGCTTTTACCAGAGATTTCTTATGATTAAGGAAATGGTTTTGTCGCTTTTATGTATTATTTTGAAAATATAAGTAATGGAAAATATAATTCACGTTTCATTAAGCCAAATTTTACATATTTACAAAAGGCCGTCATATAGCTGCGATATTGCTAAGTGCATCGTTAAACAACAACAAACAAACGCTTCTGCATAGAACATCACGCACTGTCCCTTTTTATGAGAATCATTGAAACTATTCTTAACTCCAGTAAAGTGGAAAAGTGAGGTATCGTTTGAACCAAGGTCTTCTTGGCCGGAGGCATTGATGTTAAGCGACGACAAAAGGAAATATTCAGTACATTGTTTAAAAAACAAACATATTATGTAATGCACCGCTACAAAACTCTTGATATGTTGTATAATGATAAGTATTGATCTTGATAACACAAGAATGGTGACAATGTAACTAAAAAATATCTGAAAACGTATGAAAATATCTACAAAACAAGACAACCCAGGATACATGCTTATCTCAGAGCTGTTGTTTCACTTACCAAATTCCCAGTCAAATACTCGGTTCCAACCGGATCCAACTGCAAAGTACTGGACATCAAAGTCCCTCTGCTCATTAGTAAACATGAACATCTGTTCTCCAACATAATCCCCCTCACCGACGCTAAGCAGTCTGCCGGTCCAGTTGACCCACATTGGTCTCATCTCATTGCAGTTTAAGTACGGATATCGTTGCGAGTATCGGGTGGAACAGCCACTGCAGGGTTCCATCAAACATTTATCATTTCCCCATCCACCGAGTAATATGTATGCCTTCTTGGCAGTAGAAAAGTCAGGACCATCATACAGACGTATGTAACCATCGTGGCATCCCTTCACCCGGAAGAGAAGTGATGAGATAGTCTTGACGTCAACGCCGTAGTCGTGTGTATTGTACATCTTGCCGTCTCCGGTAGAAATGACGTTGATGCTGGTGCAGGAGCCACATACTATTACGTAGAAGCCTGTAATAAGTATTAAAGTTATCTAAAGTATTGGTGTATTTTGCGACAGAGACTCTTCAAAACATACCGTATTTTTATCTCTGAAAGGAGAAGCTCGGTTTTGCATTCACAACTCCGGACATTCAGTATGCCCAGCGAACAATGAATTTGTTGTTGGAATCTGAGGCAAAGGTGGCAACATTAATTCATCTAGAACAAATTATCGTTTTCCAGCACACAACCAAATGGGCTGCCCATATCGGTAATGCGACCCAAGAGACAAATCACCCTTGGCGGCCTTGTTAAAGACCAAGAATAAAGCAGTTGGCCACCATGATGAGAAAATACATCACGCCCTTATTTTGTTATCTTTTATTTGTTTGTTTGTTGTTTAACGCCGCACAATATACCAGCTGTATGACGGCGGTCTAAAAAATAATCGAGTCTGTACCAGACAAACCAGTGATTGATATCCTGTGCATCGACCCACGCAATTGGGATACCATGACATGCATCAACCAAGTCAGCGTGCCTGACCACCCGATCCCGTAAGTCGCCTCTTACGACAAGCATAGTCGCCTTTTACGTCCAGCATGGGTTGCTGAAGACCTATTCTACCCTGGATCTTCACGGGTCTTTTGTTGTAGTCACTACATGGCTAAAATAGTGCCGATGCGACGTTAAGTTTTAACTCACTCACTCACTCACTCTACTCTCGTAAATACTGGAAGTGTCTCAAATGGATATAGATGTTGAATACAAATAGATATTGGTCAGGTTTACTGTCATGTAGATGCTCTAGGTTAGTAGGGGGGGGGGGGGGGGGGGGGGGTAACGAGAACAACCAATTCTGACAGTGTAACACAAAGCGATGTAAGTTTACCGGTTACACAAATCGCATCAGAGAGTACAGCATGTACATTGTTTTTAACTAAAATGAAGTCTCACCGATTAACAACATGACGGTTACTGCAGCAATCAGTGTCAAGGAAGAACACCGATATAACAGAGGAAAGATAATTCGCACGTTTGTATCAATTTGCCCCTAAAATTCACAATAACATGTATGGCAATGGTTTCTTCTGTGTGTGGTTAAATACTATCACAGCGAGTGTTTACTTTATATCTGTAGTGTGAATTTAGGGTGGTTGTGAACAGGTGGGCCTACCGCACTATGTAGTGCAAAAATGTACCTATGTCAAAAGCTCACTCACATCCAACGACTTTTGTTGTTTTTGTTAGTCTTTGAAAGGCTTCATATGGAACAAGTCAATTGGTTGATAAAATAAACATAACCATTTGATTCAAAAGATATTTGTCAGGATACTAAATTTGATAATATAACATCTCAATCCATTTCCTCCTTGCTTGACATAATTACATTTGTACCAGAATTGACATCTCAACATTTCGGATTTAACTGAACTTCAAGTCACAATCTCATAAAAATCAGATCTTAGTTTTCGCTACCGCTAACCAAAGATCTGAGGACATCCCATTACGGGTCATGTCAGAACGACCTTGTTGAGAGATCACCACAAAGTATGTATTGCGCGACAGAACTGGAATCTGAGAACTTGGAGACGGATCCATTGGTCGCTTTCTGCCCTACGTCACTGATGGAAGAACGAGAGTTTGGAGGCTCCGGAACACGGCCTACACCCCCAGGAACATTAAACCGACTGTTGCATACGGCGGGGGCTCGGTAATGGTTTGGGGGTGTATCTCTCATGATTGCAGGTTGGATTTGGTCACCATGAGGGGCAACTTAACAGGGGCTCAGTACATCCGGGATGTTTTGAGGCCAGTCGTCGTTCCTCAGTTTCACAACCACCAACTTGCTACTCGACCTCAGTGCATGGATGACAATGCCAGGCCTCATCGCTCGCATGCAGTCGTGGATTACATGAGGGCCAATGTAATAACGACTCTACCCTGGCCATCAATGAGCCCAGATTTGAACCCCCTTGAACATGTTTGGGATATTCTGGGGCGGCGCATACAGGCACGGGATCCTCCTGTACAAGATTTATGCCAATTGGGAGCAGCATTGCACCAGGAGTGGTTGTTGTTGACCCATCAACAGACCCAACGTCTGACTGGAGGCACGTGGCGGTTATACGCGTTACTGATCTGTTTCACGTGTCATGTCAAGTAGAGACTTTGAGGAACATTTTCACCATTTTGTATGACAAATCGTGTTAATTTGCAAAAGGTTACGATAACAGTAAGTGAAATATCAAAATATTGAAAAACAGACTCCATGTCCCTACTTGGCCACCGCAGATTTTGAACTGTTTCAGAACTAGTGTGTATTATCTGTTGTTCTTGAGGTTTTACTTGAACTTTTGACAGCGACTTTCATCCACAGTGTACCCCGTTACTTTTTGTATAATTTACTGAATGAAGGAAACATAATCATGTTAATGAAATATTTTTTATGGGTGGTAATTGTCCTAGGTGGCAATTGTCTTGGCTGGGAATAGTCTGGATGCGCATTGTCCTGCTCCCATTGTAGGCTGGAGTGTTTAAACAACTTAAACAGTGAATAAAGGCAGGCCGCCAAAATTTGATACATTCTCCGTGAAAACTATATTTCTGAACAGAAAACCTTTCCCGAAAATATCTCGAATGGTCTGATGGTTCTACCATGGATACGAAACTTTCTGTGGGCGAGAATCGGTGGAGCATAACAAACAGTTGATCAACCGTTTCCTTCTCTGTGAAACATGTTTTATTCACGTAATATGTCTTTTTACTTATTGTCTAATTCGTGACTGTTCAACTAATGATGTGTACTCCCAGTCTTGGATTTTTATGTGGATAGATTCAGTGTTGGGCGCAGTATTGATTTACATAGTAAATGTAAATAAAAACTTCCTCGTCGATCTCTGTCCAAAGAGTGCATTGTGCATGTTTAATCAGATATGTAAATTCATTTAAATTGTTAGTGTTGTAAATAAAAGCGACAAAACCATGTCCATAGCCACAAGCAGAGTCGATTTACGATTACGCCTGTGTCATGAGTATGTGTTTATGAATCACAATCAAATAGTATCTTTTAGTAAGTTTAAGGAACGCCTCCGTGGTCTAGTGGTAGAATGTCCGCTCTCCGAGCGGAAGGTCCAGGGTTTGATCCCCGGCCGCGTCATACCAAAAGACGTTAAAAGATGGTACTTGTTGTTACCTTGTCTGGCGCTCGGCATTAAGGGGCTTAAACAAGGACTGGTCGGCTCGGAGTTAATATACTGTGTCCGAGTGGAGTATTCATGTTAAACTGCGGCAAGGTACCTCAGTGAGCTGGCTCTATAAATCAGCATCAGTCCGGACTAGTAGCAGTCACACACACACGTGCATGCACGTCGCTATATAAGTGCAGTAATCTTGGACGCGACGTTAAGCTCCATTTCACCTCACCTCTATCAGTAGATACATGGGTAGGCGGACCATGGTCAGTGTAAGGCTGCTAGACGCGGATGCACTGTATTTTGCGTTTAGAAAAAATATGATGCTGCTTCGGTATTTTATTGAGCCAAAATATCAATTTTGAAAAATAAAACGATGGTGTGGATGATAAGGAACACAAACGCTCTATTAGTTTCACATCAATTAAACTCTGAATTTATATGAGTTTTACAAACATTTTTACAAAAGTACAAAATGTCTAAAAGTTTTTACACCTGTATAACGATTTATCTGTCGTAGTGTTTATGGATTGTTACAGAGCTGAATTTGTGAATGTTCCTGAACTTGGAAAAATAACTAAACTTAAACGTTTTAAAGATTAATAGTAACAAATAAAACTATCCACAAGACTGAACAAGGGAGGTTTCTATGGATATACAAATTTATTACAATGACTACGTTTCGGTGTTGACTCTAACACCTTTATCAAGCAATTGATGTACAGAAATCTGAAGTATGAAGGTTATATACATGTGGATAATTGATGTTTATCCAAGATGATGTTTACACAAAAGAAAAGGTTAAAGTATAAAATAAATAGTACATAACAAGGTATGATGAGTCATCGTAATTAAGAAGTTTATATAGTTTAGGGGCCAGCGGTCACATTCTTTTGGAGACGCATCAATTTCACGATTTACAATATTTTAATCTCATTTCTATCCTATGTTTTGATTACAGTTAAGACTAATTGTTAACGTAAGTGAAAGGTATTTGTTATCATGTCAAATAAATTTATCTTCTTGATTTTTTTAAAGTTTGACCAAATGAGAGCCTCAAAAGTAATTTCAGGGAATACGTCTAAACAATTTGATCTTAATCAGGGAATATGTATAATTCCTGAAAAATATAGGGATTATGTATATTCCCTGAGTGAATCAGACATTAAATATATTCCCTGATTATACATATTTCCTGTAACAGGTACATAAAACCATCTCCGAACTTCTAAATGCCACTTAAAGAGGTGAGGTGAAATGGGGTTTAACGTCGCGTCCAAGATTATTGCACTTATATAAGCGACGTGCATGCACGTGTATGTGAGTGTGTGTGGCTGCTTGTACTAGTCCGAACTGATGCCGATTTATAGTGCTAGCACACTGAGATACCATGCCGCAGTTTAACATGAATACCCCATTCAGACACAGTATACTGACTCCGAGCCGACCAGTCCTTGTTTTAGCCCATTAATGCCGAGCGACAGACAGGGTAACTTCTTTTAACGTCTTTTGGTATGACGCGGCTGGGGATCGAACCCCGGACCTTCCGCTCTGCGGGCGGACGCTCTACCATTAGACCACGGAGGCGGTCGCAACTTAAAGAGGTTATCCTCTGTCTTCATGGAGGCGTGGCAATTACAACCATCAGAAAACTTAACCTCCCTACTTCCATATTCTGTACATCACTTGCTTGATAATGGTGTTAGTATCTACACCGAATGTCGCAGTCGTTGTAATAAAGAAGTTGTATATGCATTGAACTATCTCCCTTGTGCATCATACCAACTTCTAAATGCCACCTACAGAAGGTATCCACGAGACTGTATGACGTTAAAC